CTATTACTATGCCAGATGCCACACCTTTCTTCCCGTTCTCTGACATACACTCCTTATCCCTGAGCCAGAGTAGGCGTGGCATTTGAACATGGCACGGAACTGGTTACTCGTGGAATATTCCAGTCTGGGACAACTGTCATCTTGTTCTGTGTTGGACAGAGACACGACAACAATTGTGTCAGATGAAAATATCTCACAAGAGTTATATTGCAAGCTATGCAGCTTCGCCCACCGGTCGCAGGGATTTCTACGTATAATACCGGGCGTTTTTGCCTATAGTTCCAATCATGTGCAACGCTGGCACGGGGCGAACATACACAGCTGGAGGTAACCACGACTGGTTCACAAAAGATTACAGCTCCAGTAGGTACACTGCACATCCCAGCGATGGGGTAGGCGTGGCTGTGTACTTCACCTGAACGTGATGTAGGATACGCTGTTGGCGGTATATTTCTATCTGGTACAAGGTTCTCCTATACTCTCCAGTGGACAATGTATGGTTGCCAACTATTTTCGGAATTCCTCAGTAAGCCAACCAGGAAAGCGCACCTGCCATCTTCAAGTGAAGTACGCAGACACGGACTCCTATCTCTGGGATATGGAGTGTAGTTTAACTCAACTCGCTTTATCTAATCAAGATTCTCATCTCTGATAATCAGTGTTGACGAGAGCTCCCAAACTAAAAACGTTGCGCCATCCTCAAAAGGGGTTTTTCTTTTTTCAAATAGTAATAATAATAATTCCTGAGAATAGCCGTTGACGATTTTGTATTCTTGTCATTTCTTGTTTATGCTGAAAAGTATTGACCTATGCTCCAGACTTCTTGATATTTTGTACGTAGTAAAAACAACTATAAACAGCCGATGAACTTGAGAATTGATGTTTGTGATTTGGAGAACATTCTATGAACTGATATCATTGCCTTTCATAGGAGCAACGAACAGATTTAGCTGAAAAAACACAAGTCTCTTATGAGAACTGCTATGAATCATTGGGCAGAACTGGGCGATGTGTCATTTGGTTCTTTTGTTCGAAAAAGCCGGTTGCCTGTTTGCTCGATGGTATACAATTCCATTTTAGGCTATGTCAACCTATGAGATACACAGTTTAGTTCGCGACGGTAACTGGTCGATTACCACTTCTAGTTTAGCGATGACATTTTTTGTACCCAACAAATCACCGGCGTCTTATCATGTCGATTTCTTCGAGCAAACGTCAGTAACATTTTAATTTGTCCGTGTTGCGAGTCAAAGTAGTCCATTGAACTGTCTTCCTTCCAATTCCCACTTCAACATCTCAAAAAAACCTCGTTGTTTCTTCGAGGAGCTATGCGGTACCCTAATCACGAGGGGGAATTATGAGTACAAATATGGAATATTAACATGACATGATACCACAAATATGACAATTTTTCCAGGGCCGGGGCCTTTTGGGGTCAGACTGGAGGTTGGACTGCACGTAAGGTGAGTTGGGGGGGGGAGCGGAGGAGAGTTGCGCCCTTTTTTTACAATTTACATTTTGCTAGATTGAACCCGAAGGAGTTATAGCGCATCACCACACAACGCCGAGCGCTGGGAAAGGATGCCGGTGTGATCAAGAACCGATAGTTTCGTGAATTTGGCGGAAAAGGCGATGGGAACATATTGTGACAGGGCCAAAGATGGACGTCAAGGTTGTGATTTGAGCCGCCGATCACTCCTCCATGTGAGGTTACCAAGCACATGGCGGAAAAGTCGGGGCCGCTTGCGCCGCCGGCTCGATCTAATACATGATTGCACCACGCAATTTTATGTCAAGTTAGTCCTTAATGCAATGGTGCCGAATTTTATGTAGCTAGATGTCCCCTAAAGATCTTTTATCCCATATATGCTCCACAGGAATCCTTTTCGAGTTTCAGAGATGGAATGGTGGAATGCGTGCGAAGTGTGAAGTGCGACCTAGGTGTCAGGTTGGGCCCCCTATAATTCAATCGGTAGCCAATGGGACCTAAGTATCATCGCAGTATCGTATGCATTGTCCTGCAGAACACAGCTTTGTTCACCGAACATATTCCATTTTCAGAACGCACATTGAAGTAGTAAATCTCCCACCGATTTTCTATTTTCACGGACAGAATTTCATTGAATTTCATTTGTAAGCAGTTTTAAAACCGGAATTGTAGTAAGATCCGCGGTAACAATCTGGAGAAACGAAACTGAAAAGCTGTAGTTTCTATTTCCGACTTTGGCCCATCATTTGGCTCCTGAGAAGCGGAAGGACAGGCAAAGAGTGTCGTATCAATGGAATTTTTGCTATTATCCCCAGCTGTCGTCACTTCCCGTCATATTCTTCAGTTGAAAACTGGTGTCTTCATGGTGCTGGGTTGTTATCATTCAAAATTTCTGACTGTAAACTGATTCGTCAGCTTCACAGACAAGGATGAAAACTGAAAACTCATCCTTTCCTTTTGTACATAAGGTCACCTTGAAAAAGGCGACTATACAAATACAGTATGAATATTAATAATACAAGCAAAACTGTACACACCCCATAATGGAAGGGCGTGGATGCATTCTTCATTCAATCACGGCGTAAGGGGGAAGGGTCCGCTTTTAGCTTGAGCTTTCCTTTTAGCTTCCCATTTGAGACAGCTGTCATCTGCCCTGTGCTGGACAATGATATGTTTACAGTTGCCTAAAAACAAGAAGATTCCACCAGCCAACTTAAGTACGCACCACGCCCTGTCCATCTCCGGGATATGAGCCTTGATATATACAGTTAAATATCTAGCATGTGTGGGCCAATGTGGTGCCTGGAGGCAAGTGGCGCTTCCTACGAACGTGCGATCCTCTCGCAAACGGCGCACCGAGTCCCTCACAGGCAGAACAAATCTTTATATAATACCTCCGAATCGGTAGCAGGCCTCGCTGGATGCATTTTATGGGTCACATCGCGTTCAGAAAACACTAACTTCTGAAAGAGGTAGGACGCCTCGCCGCATTAGAGAAAGGGGTTAATCAAAGGCAAATGCTAACCAAAGGTGGTTATATTAGGTTGTTCGGAAAGGAATGCGCGTTGACTTTGTCTATTTATTTCTCTTCTACTATAGGAGATTTTTCAAAACAGTTTTGTCCATTAGAGAGAGGTTTTTATTGCGCATCTTTTGATATATTTTTTCTATGTCTACCTTGTTTTTTTAGAGAAAAAAGTTTAGAAAATGCTCGACCAAAAATTTCGAATGCGAGCTTGTATGTGGTAAGACTTCAAGCAAGTCCTAACGACGCACTTGGGTGGACCTAATGACCCACTCGGCTCACAGGGGCAGCGGGCGGACCTAGCGACACACTCGGCGAGAAAACTGGCAAAAAGAGGCTCTTTTGACCTACATTTCCTCTCCGGCGGACCTAACGACACACCCGAGGGGAAAAGTAGTGAAAGAGGCTCTTTTGGCGAAGTTTTTGCGTACAGTTGGCAACAAGTCATTGCTAGTAATGGAGATTATCTTTTAGATTGACCTTGTTTAATTTCGTTTTTATAATAAAAATTTTTTTACACTCAAACGCGCATTCCTTTCCGAACAACCTAATAGTATTTACTTTCCTACCCTTCTCGCACTCTCAATGTATCTAAACGCTATGCACTGGAGTTTGCTGCATGTTAAGGAATTTTCGGCCTCTTTTGACCCTTATTGAACGCCTGGGAATGAAATTCTGGTACCTTTATGTGTTGACATAGGGCGCATGATTCATCTGTGCTTATGTGAAATTTAAAAACAAGTCTTAACTGATGACCGCGACGTGCCAAGCACCAGATCATCAAAACATCAGCGAAAACTGTTTGGGCAGACTTGAACGACACGGACGCATACAAAGAGATAATCTAAAGATTGTCAACTCTTCATTGGAGACGCTATCCGATCAGTTCGTTGTGTTCTTTGATGGAGAATGTGCCTAATCATTTGAACTTTTTCTGGACTTTTAGTTCTATCATAAAATTGCTTCTTAGCGCTATCATCAAGGCCATGAGTAGTTCTCTGTATGATTCTCTCATTTCAATGAAATTTACGATTAATGACTAGCGGTTGTAGTATCACTCTAACCATACGTAACCCACTGATTTCTCTCTCGTGGGATCTTTTTGGACTTTTGGTTGATTTTATTTATTGTATTCAGTGCTCTAATGTGATAACAGTCTGATATCAAAGTTATCAATGACCTACATTTGCCACTGGGTGGTTCAATCAGACCTGAAATTCGATATAATAGCTGGGTAATGTTCACCTTTTACTGCCCCAATTTTCCGAAACCAGGTCAGATTTTACCAACTTTCTTCACGCACATCTAGCTGAAAATTTGTGTACAGTTTGACTGCGGAACATGTATGTCACATCTGCTTGGCTCAAACCTGCTTGGTGCCCGCGCCACAGACAACCATGACATTCTCTTTACTGAGACTCACATTTAGTAGAGTAAGGAGAGTAACTATATTGAGGAGGACGGGTGCAGAGAAGCAGAGGCATTAGTCAACGAGTTGTGGGCTATAAATACGCTTAGAAACTTCCACACAGAGAGTCACTTTCCTGCAGAAGATGGGACGTGTCGAGGAGCTGGATTTGGCGCAGCGTCAGCCCCTTCTCCACCGAATATTGAGGCTGGCAGGCCACAAAAGGAACGGCTTCCCACCTCTTCCCTCACACGCCTCATCTTATGCAATGGAAGCAATAAATGTAAATGTGAGACGAATTCATAGCAAACACGGCTGGTCACGGCCAGACGGCCACTTTTCAGTTTTTCTACTTCCAACGAAAGTCTGGTGCAGCATATTTTCAAGCCTACACACCAGTGAGGTGTTCTTTGGGCCTTCTTGCTCATTTCGGGCTCTGACGGGAGGCAACTTCCGCTACGATTTCCTTTCTAATTACTGATCTCTCCCTTCGTATGCGAATTTCGGAGCAGTTATTTTCTACCAGTAGTGCCCTCTGTCACTTGTTTCAGAGGAAATTTTCTGTGAGTTGCAGGGTTATGCGAGTATGTATCGTCGGTGGGGGCGGTTATTTGGGATGTCAACTCGCTAGTCGTTTACAGTCACATGGTGCTCATACCGTACTGCTGGACATCGAGTTTCCAAAACATCCAAACATTACTCTCGACGAAAAACTAACCACCAGACTGCAGGTGAGGTTCTACCTTGCAGCACTATAATTAGGAGGAGGCCTTCCCATAGGGTTTCTGCCTTATCTTGAGGAAGCGTGTTTTCCTTTGTGCAGCTGTTTCGTTCACAATTTTATATAGCAAAGTTTCAGGGATCGTTACTGGACGAGGAAATCGTTCATAAGGCGTTGACCGCTTGTGAGTCATGCTTTCATCTGGCAGCTTGTGGTATGTCCGGTCTGCAGGCCGTGAGTAGAATTTGGATATTGTGGATTCAGTTTCTAGTCTTTCTTACCTTTAAGGCTTTTTTGCCGTGGGCCAGCCCGTTTCTCTGAGGTTTTCGTCCTGGTGGTTCCAGTCCACGCTGATTCCAAAGGCGGAGACGGTCAAGCACTACGACTTGCTCATTTGTCATTTCCTGTAATGGAAAGAAGTAGAGTGTAGGAGCGCGTGCATAAGTAAAGCTCAAGGGTTGACTATCTCCGCCCTTACTATCAGCGAAGACTGCATTCAAGAATTGTTTCAGTGTACTAACTACATACTAACTGTGAAACTAACATAAAGTACTATAATTTTTTACACACATTACATGACGCTACAATACCTTACCCATTACTGGAAAATATCTGAGATCCCAGATTCTTTGACCCTATTTCTGGTGTGACAACCCGCCCTAGGTCTTCCCAGAACCAAGATTCTTAGGTTCGTTGAAGTCTAAAAATTTCAGTTCAATCGAAAAATGGTATACAAAGTCAATGTTGATGGCACGTTGCTTCTCCTGGATTTCTGTAAACGACTGGGCGTTTCACGATTTATTTTCGCTTCATCGGTCGGTGTGGTTTTTACGACCAAAGAGTTAATCAACGCTCCAGAAGACCTTCCATATCCTGATCAATCTGAGGTTTCATTTGTTTCTTGTTGCTTCTTTTCTATGAATTTCCATGGTTACTGTAGAGGTTTTTCGGTCAACCCTTCACCAACTCTCGAAAGGATTTTTGTGATGTGATCACTTTTGTTTTAGTACGTATCCGACTACAGTGCTTCAAAGGCTCAGGCTGAGAGAGCAGTATTAGCCGCGGATTGTCCTGCGCTGCGCACGTGCGCGCTTCGCTTAAGAGGAGTGTATGGGCCAGGCGAGCCACGGTGTACAGATCGAGCAGCGGTGAGGAATTAACTCATTTTCTAGTATGAGTAGAATTTTATTCTGCGATGGATTCGGTTTTCCCTAGAAAAATTTATCAAAAGAGGTACCCTTCCCCTCACGTGAACGAAAAAGGCGATAGTGCACCAAAACCAAACGTAAGCTCAACTTCTAGGTGGATATTAGCCAAGTGCGAGCTGAATGGGCAGACGAGTAGCGCGCTTGACTATACCCACGGGCCTGAGACGCGTTGCGTAGGCTGGCCCGGCGGTGGGTGGAGTTTGCATCACAACCGCATGTGGCTCTCACTACATCCTACCGGCCCCTTGGCAATTTCGAGTGGAGAAAGTGGTACGTTACTGCAGCTGTTTACCCGTACACCTCGAACAGGGTCAGGATTTTCAAAGAAGAGCGCATTGTCTGTCTGTCATTCAAGCCTAAACTCCTCTACCCCCACTTACTTCCCATTTTCCAGAACTAGAACGCCCTTGAAGTTTACCCGGACGGATTTGGCTAGAAACTTGTCCATGGAGGCAGTTTGACCCCTAAATTGAAGATCTCGCCCTTTTGAGCAGCATGTGAAAGAACCACAAAAGTAGACAAGTAGGCGAAGGATATCAGAGCTCATGCGTGGAGGAGAATTTTGTTTTTTAAGGATATAATCTTCCGCGGTCTTTACCTCGCAACGTTTTCTCAAAGGTCATCGGCATTGACACAGTACAGTGGGGTGAACAATGTCACCCATGCGATGTGCCAAGCTGACAAGGAACTTGCCAAGCCTAAGCCACGTTGTGCTGGGAAGGTATGTGGATTGAACAACCGAGGTCCAACAATCGAAAAATTTATTTCAATTCTTTTTAGCCCTACTATGTTGTCGATGCCAACCCGGTGGACTCTTTCTTGTTCTGGCTCCCTCTGATTAAGGCTCTCTCAAGGCCTGCTCCTTCAATAAGGATCCCCTTTTGGTCTGATTTATTTCACTGCCGCCTTGTGCGAGTGGCTGGCAATGTGGTTCGGCATACCACCCATGATGAACAGGTATTTACTTTTATTTTGTGCGGAAAGTTGTCCCGCTTCCTCAAGCTTCCTCATAGTGAAAGTGTATGAGAAAATGGTCGAGGGCACATCTCCGGTCTCTCTTTGAAATATACAGTCCGAGCTGATCTCAGGGGCGGAGACGGTCCATATTCGTGCTGTCCTCATAGGTCGAACTCCTTCGTTCCAAAAGGAGGAGCAAGCAAGTAGGAGCTACAGTGATCGTCGGCGCCAACGGGGGGGGCATTTTGCACTTTCGTTGCTTCACTAGTTCTGGTTTACAAGTCTCACTCTGGTGAAACCTGTGAACTCTTGTGAAGCTGGAGCAAGCTCGTCAAGCCATCATGGTAAAACCTGTCAACTCGAGAAGAGGCTGTCTAGATGGGTCGACACGTCGATGGGAAGTAGCAAAAGTGCAAAATGCCCCCCCCCCCACTTCCCGACGCCGAACAGCACCGTGATCCCTCACTGCTCACACTGTCAAAGTGTACCCTGCCTTCACTGCGCTTGCGAGACAGATTATCTGTTCTCAAGTACTGAAATGGAAACGCTTCGGATTCTTCGACGAAATAAAATTCAGTTTGCTTTTTCAGGTTGGAAGTGAATTTACTTGGTATAACAAACACATATTCAATCGATGGTGCTATCAGAGACTTTGACTACAAGCCGACAAACAACCACGACTTGACTGAGGTTTTTTTTTGCTCTCTGTCTTTTTTTTTCGGTGATATTCTCATCGCCATATTCCCATTTTTTTCATTCGGAGGTGCTGAACTTGTGAACAAGTCGCTCCCACTCCCATCCTTTTTTCAGGTTGTGCAGTATTATCAGAAGTACTACGAAAATAGACGAACGTCTTGGAATTACTCCGATATTCGACGTGTTATTACAAACATTTGCCTTATTGCTGTGTTGTTGGCGATCTTTGCAAAATATGTTTTTTCCTGAAAAATTCCAGTGCTTATGTTAAGAATGAACTCAGTCAGTAGTTCACAAAATGACTACATTTTAAACGGATTATCGATGCGGGACCGTCTTCAGTCATAGAGCATGACACATCTTCTAACCTTTCATGAGCTTGCTGTGATAGCATTAATTGAATATTATTCTATGTATTAAGTATATTCGAAAAGTATATTATGACACATCTACTGAATAAATATGTCAGTTGTCTTTCCAACAGTTCAGTCTTCATCGGGGCACATCATTGGTTGGGGATTTTAGTCTAGTCCATACGACCCCCTCTTTTTTTTTTTGGGGGGGGGTTAGTATGACCCTCTGTCCGGCCAGAAAGTGAGTACGACTCCCCCCTCACTTTTATAACGTCCTTGAAGCGGGAGAAATCACCCATCAAAATAAATTTTTTTTCACCCCAAAACGACCCCCCCCCCTCTCCTGGCGGCCAAATACGAGCTCCCCGCCCCTGTTGGAGATTTCCCCAACAACAATTTGCCGTGGTCTTCATGCGTTGATCTGACACGACACTGATTTCTTTTGCGTCGATCTTTGTTAATCTTCTGCGACGTCTCGTCGCCAGGGTCAAGCATCACGTCGCGGAAAATTGGAGGGTGGTACGATCCTCACTCGAAAGGGGTGTCCGTATGACCCCCTTCCCCCTTAGTGACTGCAGAATGTGTGGAAGTATCTGCTGTGCTCTTCAGAATGTAGCTGTATCATATTGTGTGTTATGCGAATACCAAACCACTCGAACAAAAGCGCTGAGATTTGAAAAGATCACTTTCTAAGAAGTACTGTAGGGAGTGGAACTTGGGAGAAAAACTTACAGTGAGCCCTCCAAACGCAACAACACGCAAGCAATGTACTACGTCTGCGTCGTGTATACAGTCCTCATCATTGCGGACCGGTGGGGCGTGTCAGTGCGGCTGCGTTTGGCGCGGTGCCAAAGTCGTTCTGCACCAGTTGTTGAAGCGGGCAAGTGACATTACTGTATTATATCCTTCGTATTACTCGTTTTCTACCACTTTTTGTCGCATACGCGTTTCAACAAAAGGCTGAGAACGGCTTCAACAGTGTGCACACTCATACTGGCTGACACGCCGGTCCGCAATGATGAGGACTGTAGATATCTTCCCATTGCATAGTTTTTTAAAAGTTCAAACTTCATTCAGGAACTATCTTTCGCAGCTGTAAGGACGACTCAGCTCTATACAAAATACACTACAGGTGTCATCAAGCTTGCATGACGGCTTTAGAAAATAACGCGGAGAATTCCGGGCCATTCTTTACCTTACAATAGGAATTGCTTCGTTCTCATATAATATAGAGCGGTGCTCTACATGGCATTGAAAACCAGAAGGTTTTCTCTTTTGAATGAATGCAACTGCTTTGCTGTGGCTTAATTATAGCGAAAATCCGACCGTCGCGGAAATAACAAACTTAAGCGGAGGATTTTTTCCGAACGCAAGTTTTGTACTTGTACCTTTCGAAGGCCATAACTTCGTTAAAACATGACATGGAACGGAGCCCTATATAGCTTTGAGAATTAGAAGGTTTGCCTTTCTAAAGAGCGCAACATCTTAGCTATAGCCCAAAAACGAAAATTCTTCTGAAAATGTTTGAAAAGGTGATAGTCGGTTGGTGAAAGGTCTGGAGAATATGGCGGGTGAGGTAGAACTTCAACCCCCAATTCGTTCAATTTATGGATAGTGATTTGTGAAACGTGTGGGCGGGCGTTGTCATGCAAAGGAATCGGACCCTTTCTTTTGATAAGTGTTGGCTGCATCTGACAAAATTTTCGGTACAATTCGTCGATTTCTTCACAGTAGGGTTCTGCTGTGATGGTTTGGCCTGGTGATAAAAAGTTATAGTGGATCACACCAGCCGATGACCACCACACTGTGACCATAATCTTTTTTTCGTGAGGATTCGGCTTTGGAAATTGCCTCGGTGGTTCGTCGGCATCCAACCACTGTCCGGTTATCATGATCCACTTTTCATCACAGGTGACAATTCGGTCCAAAAACGGGTCGTTTCTGTTGCGCAAAAGCAGTGAAGAAGAAACCTCGACGTGCCAATTTCTGCCGGTCACTCAAATTGTGGGGCACCCACTTGTCGAGTTTTTTCACCTTCCCAATGCGTTCAGACCATCCGCAACAGTGGATTTGCCAACGCCTAGCTTTTCTGCAATCTCTCGAACTGTTTGGGATGGGTCAGCCTCCCAAACGCCTTCAAATCCTCGTCAGGTATTGCTTTAGGTCGACCGCTACGAGGTTCATCTTCAAGGCTGAAATCTCCAGAACGAAATTTGTCGAACCATTGTCGCACGGTGCTTTCTCCAACACTATTGGGCCCCCACACCTGGTTAATTTGTCGAGCTGTCTCGACTGCGGATTGACCCAATTTGTAGTTGAAGAAAAATATCGTCCGAAGTTGCTCTTTTGACATGCTTCAAAAAGTCTTGGGAAAAGGGGGTTTATCAAGCAATGGTGAAACGGCAATTATACCATCAGATAGCGCAAAAAATTCTCTTCAGGATGTACTACTGAGACGCAAGGGAGAATGAGTTAATAATCAATGATGTACAAAAAAATAGCCACAAAACGCTGGGAACTTTCCGGAAAACTTAATGGAAAATGTGCACAGAGACGCTGGTCAACTTCTCCATGGCATGCGCCATATACTCGACTTCTTCTCCGAACGCATCACCCATCCTGCAAGCTACGTCGATGCTGTGTTCGGTACTGATCTCTGCAAACACGACTCTCTCCCCTTCTAAGAGATCAACTACGACTCCCTCACCACCAATCCACATATTGCAATGGGAGTGAATCTCTAGCTGAAATCTTTTCACAAACTCCAACGAACCCTGATGCGATCGTCGGAGTTTATGAAAAGAGTGATTTCAAGAATTATAGGCCTGTGTGTCTCACGTCTTCAGTGAGCAAAGTAATGGAGAGGATTGTTTGTGGGCAAATGCGAACTTTCCTTATATCGAGAAATCTTCTGTCACATTGCCAGCATGGGTTTCTCCCAAAGAAGTCTACCACAACAGCACTTCTTTCGGCTATTCCCGCTTGGCAGTACGCCATTGATAAAAAGGAAACTGTTTTTGCAGCCTACATTGATTTTGCCAAGGCCTTCGACTCCGTTCCTTTGCAACTTTTGTTTCTAAAGCTAAAACAGTTCGGCATCACCGGATGTCTTGCGAAGTTCATAGAATCCTTCCTCTGTAACAGACACCAGAGGGTTGTCCTCGACGGTTCATGCTCCAGAATCTACCAGACCGAGAGTGGCGTTCCCCAAGGCTCTTGTCTAGGACCTCTGTTGTTCATCATGCACATAAACGATCTGCCTAATAGTAAGAGCCAGGCAGATCGTTTATGTACTTGATGAACAACAGAGTTCCTAGACAAGAGCTAGACTTGAGCGTGCAATTTATACCAGGTGAGAGCCTCCCACCTGGTATAAATTGATATTTAAATATTTACCGCCCTGTCAGTTTTTGAGCGCACCCAGAGTGCAGTAAATAAATAAATAAAAAAAATTGCACGATGTATGCGGATGATGTCAAGTTATACTGCATGAACCAACCCTCCCTGCTGCAAGCAGCTCTTGATGCAATATCGTTGTGGTCTAGGAAATGGGGACTCGCAATCTCTCTTGATAAAACAGTTGTTTTGCGGTTGGGTGTTTCCTACCCTTCTGCACCCAAATTTGTAATTGATGGTATTGAGCTAAAAGAACCAGAAGCTTTTACTGATTTAGGTATCACTTATACTCGTACGCTGTCATTCAGCGAATACATTAAGAAAGTGGTGCATTCAGCCCATTGCAAGGCAAACTTCATTCTGCGCGCATTCTCTTCCAGAAGCATAAAAACCTTGTTTAAGCTTTTTGTAGCGTATGTGCGCCCTACGCTCGAGTATTGCCCTATGCTGTGGAGCCCCTATACGCGCTCCCAAGTTGAAATGGTCGAGGGTGTTCAGTCTAAATTCACTGAACGCATTTTCGCTCGTGAGGGTATGTTCCATGTATCATATAGAGATAGACTGAAGTACTTGAAGGAGGATTCACTTGAAATGAGAAGAAAGTTGAGTGATTACGAGCTTACTTTCAAAATTTCCGCTAAGTTGGTAGACTTAGACTTTGATGTCCTTTTCAAAAGATCTTCAACGATTGGGCGCACCAGAGGTCACCGATATAAGCTCATAAGAGATAAAATAAAGTCAACAGAGTACCGCAATTCTTTTACTCAACGGATTATCAGTTTTTGGAATAGTTTGCCAACCAGTACTATAAATTCGAGTTCTCCTAAGTCGTTTAGGAGCAAAGTGAGAAAAGTTATGATTTCACAAAGGGTGGTTCTGAGAACAGAAACTAAATTATTACACTTTGAAAGGCTGAGTGGCGATTAAGTGATTTTTGTATTCCTATTTCCTGTACTGTTGTATTTTTGACTGTGTGTTAAGTCGCCTTACATTGAATGTGTTTTGTGTTACTATCAAGATGTATATTTCTTACCTAGTTGCACCCCATTGCTAATCCTTGCTTGCGGCTGTTGGAGCTGGGTCTCAGTAAAGTTGGCGGACCTACTAAGTTGGTATCCGGAGTCCTATTTGATGCGTGGATGGACTTGCAGTGTTGGCGGCCACTGCCCTTCTGCCCTGATTACCCCCTCTACACCGCAACACTTTATTCT